AAAAAAAAAAAAAAAAAAAAAAAAAAGGAAAACCTTAAAACCTGATTGAGAGTCAGAAAATGCAACGGTGTTTATAATTAAATTGTGCTTCTTAAAATCACGTTCTAAATTGAGGTTTGCTCTAAGTAGGAGAGGTGCTAAATAAACAGAACTGTTGTCTTTTGCTGGCTTTAAGGTCAATGACAGATTTTAACCAATTCAATATGACTGAGGTTAAGAAGCCTGAGACAATTTGGAAATAAGGAACAATATGAGAGAACTTCAAATAGTTCATGGGAAGATTCGTTTTATCTTTTAATTCTGTTTTATCACAAACTTTTTGAAGTATCCTCATATCACTCATTGGGATTTTTTCAGTAGTGTTTTTTTTTTTTTTTTTTTTACTAAGTTATTTTTTCTGTAATGATGATGCAATATTGGTTCTCAATCATATGATATGTAAGCCTTCAAAATAAAAATAGGTATTTAGGAAAAGGGGGCAATTTGTAAGATCAAAATGACTAAAATCCTCCCTCCAGAGGTTTTGTTGCATTTTACAAGCCTGTTGCAAACGCACTTCTGTTTCTAGGGAGGGCTAAGTGCTGTGTTTATAAAGGAACGTAATAAAAAACAGCGTGTCAGACCAGAGGGCAGCTGCTTTTTCTGGAGGAATTATCCCTTGTAGATCACCCACACATGCATTTGCCTGATCCTGTGGGAATGCTGTAGAAGGATTTTTCCACTGTGAGGCATCCACAAGTCATGTTTCCTCAGCTTCACAAGAGAAAATATTTGCATGTTCTTTTGAAGTAAAAGTGTTCAGAGCTGGAAGAAAATTTTTGGATTATTTTCATAGAGCTCCATATTGACTAAATTCTCCTATAATTGTTCAAAACATCAGCTTTTATTCAGTCCGTGTGAAAACAAATATGAGAGACTAAGTATAATTTCTAAAATATATATATTTCTTAAAAACACATTTAGAAATGAGTGTTTAGGCAAAATACCTCCTAACCTCCATTATTTTGTTTTTACTAAAAAAAATGAAATAATAGAGTTGGACCTCTCAGAAGGAAAGAGTATAAAGAACGTATTTATTATGCTGTGGAAGAAGCTTTCTCCTAACAGGGACCAACATTACAGAAGCTCTATGTCCTTAGTACATAGCACATTCTGTATTTATATTAGCTCTGAGCTTTAGTGGTTCTAGGAAAACAAATCTGTTAGCTGGGAAATTGGGTCCAACTAAAGTGGCAATTTATGAGAAGGAGCTAAGGTCATACATCAAACAGGTTGTGTGCTTAATGGAATGTTATTTTTAAAGTTGTTCAGGTGAAATGCATGCCTCAAATATTGAGTTTAAAATACTAGCCAGAAGGGAAAATGTGCATTTTGATGGTTTAAAAATCACTTCTCAGGACTTCGATAGAATGTCTTAAAAGCCTAGAGGACTGCTTGTAAATGAAAACGCACACCCCCCTCAGAACTGAGACAGGAAAGAAGGCACTTTTGCCACGTGGATGGTGGAGCCAGCTTAGGAAGGGCGCTGCCCTACGATGCTCGATGCTCGAGGGGGAAGCCAGCAAGTGCAGCCTTTTCCCCCTAGAAGCTTCTGGAGACGTCCCCGTCCCCCGTCCCCCGTCCACCGTGGGTGTGAGGGAGACTGAATTTTGCGTTTCGCGGGTTCTGCAGAGGAGGGGTCTGAGGAGCTCTGCCAGGTGGAGGGGAAGGGACACTAAGCTGAGGGGAGCGAAAGGACAGGGCAGCCTCAGACAGGAGCTCGGGAGCTGCTGCGTGGCTGATGTTAGATCAGCCTCTGGAACAATTTGCCTCGTGTGGAGAAAAGGGCTTCTCTCCCCATCCCCCCTGCCATCCACGGCCACAGTCGCTGCTTCTGACCGCAGCCTGGCTTTTCTTTGCAGGAAACAGGACGCCGTCCCCACTGCCGCAGCGCGCCCCGTTGCCCTCGGAAGCTCACACAGCAGAGATCCGGGCACAGCAGGAGCCCCCAGTGACGGGGCACACTGCCCAGCAGTCAAGAGACGGAACAAGGACGGGGACCGTCTGATCGCCCCAGCCCCAGTAAAGGGGAGCGCAAGAAGGGCCTGCGGGAGGCGACCTGCCTCCCCTCCTCCTGGCCTCCTGCTCCCTGCGAGTCCCGCTTCTGCCTCCTCAGACCCCACTTGAGCCTCTGTATCAGTCCCAGTTTGAGGTGACAAATTAGGATAAGGAGATTCTAAACAGCAGTGGGCTGAGGGAGAAGGAGAGAGATGGAGGAAGTCCCCACGCTGTGCAGGACGCTACGAAACTCTACTGCGCGCAG